TCCGTGGGAGAAAGATGAGGTTTTCTCCTTCCGTAAAGATTTACAGCCTCGGAAACCCTGTACAGGGTCGCTATGAGTCGGAACCGACCCCACAGCACATAACAACATACACACACACACACACACACACACACACACACACCTACCTATCTCCTGGTGTGGCACTGTAGGGTAAGGGCTTGGGTTGCTGTATATTAGAGCAGTTTTAGGTTTACAAAAAAATGGTTTTGTAAATATTGAGTTCCCCTGTACCTCCCCCCCTCCCCCCCACGGTTTCTTCTGTTACTCACATGTTGCATTCCTGTACCACACTTGTTACATTGCATGTATTAAGAGTGATACATTGTGACTCACTCAGGCCCATGGCTTGAGGGCTTGACTGTTCGTTCCCTGTGCTGTGAATCTGACGAACACATGTTGTCCTATGTCCATCCTTACAGTGTCTTGCAGAATAGTGTCACCTGTTTGTCCCTCCTCTCTCCAGGAACTCCTGGCAGCTGTATTATTTTAATGCAACACACAAAAAAATATCAGAAATCATGGAAGGAGCTGGTCTGAGCTGTCTCATGCTTCTGGGCTTCTTGGTGTTCGAAGGAACATGGGGACTTTACCAAGCTGTTCTTCCAACCCGTAGTGTTACGTTTGTGCTTTTGAAAAGGGTTTGTGATGGCTCTGCAGACACAGTTGACTGCTAAACTTTTTCAGAAATTAACTGCGTGGCCTTGGGTTTAATTCCCCATCCAGGCTTCCTTTCTTGGGAAGACATGAAGCTGATGTTTTTGAAAGTTTCCGAGTTTAGAGCAAGCATGGATGGCCTGAGGTACTGTGTCTTCGATGTTCCTACCAGTGAGTTGAAAAGACGAGACATCCATCCGGTCTGAGACATCATGGCCTCGACTGGAACCATGGTTCTCAAAGTGTGTTCCCCAGACCGGCAGCATCACCTCCCAACTTGGGGAGGAGAATGCAGCTTCTCGAACCCCATCACAGGCCCTCTGTTGGGGAATGTGGGGCTAGATTGAAGGTTCAGAAGCACCATTCAAGTGAGAGGACTGTCCTGAGGCCGTGGGTGGTTACTGATTGATCATTGATCCTGAATGGCCAGCCAAGCCCTGTGAGAACGGGCATGTTACATCATTGGTGAGTGAAGGCCACAAGACCATATGGTTCAGTCTCAGGTTTTCCCGTTTTGTTGTTGTTATGAGGTGCCTGCTCCTTGTGTAACAGAAGTAAACATTGTGTGGCCCTACGCCATCTTTATGATTGTGGGTGTGTGGTCATCCCTGGCTACGGTGGTTGTTCCAGTCCATCTTTCTTGGAGTACCCCCTTCAGTTTTGCTGACCCTTGATTTGACCACACACACACTGTGTCTTTTTCCAGCAATGGGTCTCCTGACGATGTGTCCAAAAGTCTCACTCTCCTAGCTCCCAGGGAGCCTTCTGGCTGTACTTCCTCCAAGATATTTACCAAGTGTTTCTGACAAACACGTTTTATTTCTCAGCCGTGAAAAGCAGTGCTCAGAAAAACCCGTGGGGACAGGATGATGAAGATGTCTTTGTCACTCCTGAGGACATGCTGGAAGGGGGACTCTCGTGGAAACCACGAATCAAATCTCTTATTTCCTCTCCCTGCAGAAATGCATCCGCTTCAACCCGGACGCGACAGTGTGGGTGGCCAAGCAGAGGGTCTTGTGCACGCTGAACCAGAGCCTGAAGGACGTACTCAACTATGGGCTCTTCCAGCCTGCTAGCAATGGGCGTGATGGCAAGTTTCTAGACGAGGAACGGCTGCTTCGCGAGTACCCGCAGCCCGTGGGCAAGGGCGTGCCTTCGCTGGAGGTAATCCCATCTTCAGTGTTTATCGATGGCTGATTCATTCCTGCGTCTCTGCACAGAATCGGGAGGGGAGACCCAACTCCATAGTTGATTTGGATTATGTTTTGGAGAATTGATTATTATTATTTTTAAACCCACTGCTGTGGAATCTCTCAGACTCACAGTGAGCCAGTAGGACAGATGAAAACCGCCTCAGGAGTTTCCGTCTTTACAGAACCAGACAGCCTCATCTTTCTTCCAAGATGGGTTTGAACCCTGCCAACCTTTCTTCCATTAGTGCGTTTGAACTGCCGACCTTTGGGTTAGCAGTCTATTAACTTAACCACTGTGCCACCAATGGGGGGCTCCTATTGGGAAATTTCCCCCACATCAAAAATTAATAGTTTGGGGTCTTGAAGCTGCACTCCTAATTTTACTGTGGATTGCAGACTTGTGTCATTTCTATACCTCTGCTTTCTCTGGAGGACTGAGGAGTTTATGGGAGAGAAGTTACGGGCTGAACAAACCATGGATTCAATTATTTCATCAGAATGGATGTGGTCTAGAGAGGCAGCACAGATCTGTGTTGGAAGAAGTGCAGCCAGAGTGCTCCTTGGAGGTCAGTATGGCCAGACTTCATCTCTCATACTTCTGACATATTGTCAGGAGGGACCAGTCCCTGGAGAAGGTTATTATGTTTGATAAAGTGCAGGGTCGACGAAAAAGAGGAAGACCCCCAATGAGATGGATTGACCAAGTGGCAGCATCGATGGACTCAAGCATGACAACAGTAGTGAGGTTGGCCCAGGATCTGACAGTGTTTCGTTCTGCTGTGCATAAGGTTGCTGTGGGTCGGTACCTAACAACAACAACAACATAGTGACTCTGGGCAAGCTCCCAAGATTGCAAATCCTTCCAGGAGAAGACAAACCCTAATTTTCCAGGTCGTGGGTTTGAACCACTGACCTTACAGTTAACATTCCAGCCCTTGTTCTTCAGTGTCATTAGAGCTCCTTGAAGTAGGAAGACAGACAAAGGCACGATGCTGTTGGTCTGCGGTGCCTGTAAAGAATATCGGCTCTATTACGGACTGCTCAGGAATGAACCTAATGATCCCAGAAGACATACAACCTGAATGTTTGTAGACATGAGAAGGGGGAGACTTCCACTCACTCACGTTGGCCACATCATCAGGAATGACCAATCGCTAAAAAAGGTAAGGAAGTTTCATAAAGAAGTGGGTCAGCAGAAATGCAGGGCGCCCTATATAAGGTGAACTGGCCAACCAACCGTGAAGGTGGCTCAGGATCGAGCAACCATTTTCCCGTTGTCTACTCGGTCACCATGAGTTGGAGCCAACCTACAACACCTACAGACTTGTGTGGCCAGCCTCCCAAACTCTGCTTTGTTCTGGCCCTTCGGGAACCTGGTTATTACAAGAAGACAGTTAAGTGACCTCCGAGGAGTACATGGATCAGTGACAGGACGCAGGCCCGTGTCTCTCCGTTGCGCATCTCCCTGACCGAAGCGGAGGTTGGCTACGCAGACCCTCAGCTGTCAGTAGGCCCACCAACTTCTCATTGCTGCTAATATCACTGTGATTTGGAAAACGCGTCTGCAGCTGCCTGGTCCTTTATTGTGATGAAAGCCTTCAGAGGCATGCACTTGGCTCTCGGGGGTCCTTCTGGGTCAAGTTCACCCAGCATTTCCCCTTCCATTTAAATCCTTTGTTTTCAGCGTCAAGTGTTAGCAAGTAAGTGCCCAAGTACCAGACGTGCCAACTGGATGAAACCTTTGCAGCAAGAGAGCGTTAGTTCATTTGAGCAGTTGTCTTTGGAAATTGCCCAATTATGCTCTGGCTTGACCTTGTTGGCGTTGCCGATGTTTCAGAGGTGTGCAAATATGCAGATGATAAATGAACGGCTGTGAAAGGCAGAGCCCTCCAAGTATCCCTCTGAAGGGTTCCTGCCAAGTTCAGTTGCATTATGGGTCTTTTAAAATGCATCACAAAGAAATGAATAATGACAGAAACTGTAATTGCGGAGGGAGTGTACAAACGTGAACGGCACGTCTCTGCCTTGAGATACGTGCTCGGAAAGTTGAGTTCTGTGCAGAATCCACTGAGTTCTTGCTGAACCTGCTTGTTGTTGTTGTTAGGTGTCATGGGGTGGGTTGTGATCTTTAGCGACTCGACGCTCAACAGAACGAGACACCGCCCAGTCCTGCGCCAACTTCACAATTGCTGCTACACTTGAGTCCACTGTTACTGCCACTTTGCCTGTCCATTTTGTTGAGGGTCTTCCTCTTTTTCCATGACCCTACACTTTGCCAAGCATGACACCCTTCTCCAGGAACTGGTCCTTCCTGATATTGTGTCTGAAGAACGAGAGACAAATTCCAGGCATCTTAACTCCTGAGAGGCTCTGAACATGCTGTTTCCAGCTCTCAGTTCTGAACATGCTGTTTCAGGGAGCACCCTCTAAAATGACTTGGCTTCTCTTCCCCTCATTCTTCACCCTTTAGCTGGGCTACTTGGATGGAAAGCAGGAGTGAGATGGATTTAAATTTCACCTGAGTTACATGAATTACCAGGTGCAGTCCGTAGGGAAGGTGGTACCCAAATATAGCTGCGTAATTCTAACCTTGTGTTGTTGATGGTGGTTTACAGAGCCTTCAGACAACCCACCATAATAATACATATTTTATATAGCATAATATTTACCATTCCTTCATGCTTTGTCTAGACAGTCCCTTACCCTCCCTAAAATCTTCCAAAATAACCACTGTCATAATCTCTATCTTGTAGGCCCTCCCCCCTAAAAAAAAATGTGGAAAAAAAATCTCTTCTGCCCTGTGGCATTCTCTTGACCTGTTGTGACAGATCAAACAGCTCTGTCCAAGAAACTAAGGCTGTCCCCACAGGCGGACACTCTTCGGTATCGGTAAATGCGTGTCCACCACCCAGGGTGGGCACAGGGCACCAAAGTCACGTGGCTTTGTGATCCACCATTGGCTGTGTGAGTTATGGTCAGGGTGAGGCTGACCTTGAATGCAGAGGACTCAATGCACTGAGGAGACCTGGTGGCCACCCAGCGAGCGTATGAGTGGCTGGCCCAGGGTTCTTTCTGCCTCTGTCTCTCTTCCCGTTGTGCCGAGGTATTTTCAGTATTTAATCTCACATCATGATGAATAGCTCTGAGTCATGCTGGCCCAGCAGGACAATGGTAGCCCTGGCTGTCTTCAGTTTAGATTTGAACTTGACCGTCTTCAGTTTAGATTTGAACTTGACCGTGCGCTTCTCTGATAGAAAAGCCAACATTGCGTACTGGCCCATGGCATGGCTGATCACAACGGTATCTCTTATAACTCTGCAAACTCCGGTACTCTAGACCCTCCTGTGCTGGTCATCGACAAAATTAAATGGGCGCGACAATGTGCCACGCTGTCCAATCAAAGCAAGCCATGGTCAGGGACACCTTCCGCCACCGTCAGCCTTGTCCAGCCCAGAAGCCCCTTGATGCTGCATTCCCCAGTGGCTCTCAGTTCGTGGACTGGCAGCCAGCACAGTTTTAGTCCACTTGCATTTGTGGAGCATCTGGTACGGCTGAACAGAGACACCTCACCCTTGTCCTTAAGCAGTGCTCCATCAGCAGTGTGTCCGTGGTGCCACAGACAGACACACAGACAGTGTGACTCCGGGAGTGTGAAATACATGTGGGACCATGTCTGACTGCTCCTGACTTCACAGGGGAGAAAGATTATCACATTCAAAGTCAGCTTGAGTCTGACCTCCTATAAAGGGGAGGTCAGACAGGCTTCCACCCCACAGCCTTCTTTCCCTGATTCTGACACCAACCAGCCCTCCCACCCACAGCCCTCTCTGCTTCATTCACATCTGGGTTCGACGATCCACTGCAATGGGATTGAAGAATTCATAACAAGCCTCACAATGATGAGGTTTATTAGGGAAGTGAACAGGGTACAATTCAGGATCAGAACCAACTCAGGATGCAGCAGGTCTCCAGTCAGGAACGCCTTTTGTCTGCCAGACTGCAGGCACGCCTCACTCTGGTCTTCAGTCTTTCAGCCGTGTGACCCCTTGGTCTCTGTCCCTGCTTGGACAAACGCACAAAATTCTTTTAGCCAGTCTGTGAATTCCCAAAGGACACATTCTGCAAGCCAGTCTCCTGTACTCAGCTTTTTTCTGTCCCTGGGCCTAGAGCTTGAAGCGGCTCTGTCTCTCCAGGCCACCACCTCTGCCACCGTCTCTACTGTCTCTTTTCTAGGTGGGGTTCTCATGCTTCACTCATGCTCTTCCTTCGTGATGGTCCTAGGATCCTCTGGCTTTGCTTCTGAGATGGCTCCTTCGAAACGGAACGGATGGCCAAAACTAACCAAGCCCAGCCCTGGAGTCCTGTATACCTTATTTGCATGGCCCCAGCCAGTCACTTGGTGGGAATAGAGAAGCAGTATCCAGTAAATTCAAAGTACCATAGGAGGAAGATGGAGTTATTGTACCTTTCCTAGGCCATGCCTCACTTTGTGGGTTGGTGTCTCTGGGGTGTTGCTCAGGAAGCTCCAAGAGGCCAGAAGCTGCTTGGAGAAGCCTTGTTGTTGTTAAGTGTCGTCAAGTCGATTCCGACCCATAGTGACCCTGTACAGGGTTTCCAAGGGTGTAAATCTTTACAGGAGTAGAAAGCCTTATCTTTCTCCCATGGAGCGGCTGGTGGTTTCGAACCGCTGACCTTAAGGTTCACAGCCTGATTTGTAACCACTACGCTATCAGAGCTCCGTAGCCCTCAGCAAAGGTAGGCTCATCACCAGGTGCAGTGGAGGAGGTGGTCCCCGAAAGAGAGGGAGAAATGCCAAACCCTTCAGGGGTGGTAACCCAGAAAGGGGTTTCCCCTGTGCTTAGAACCCAGAGCTGGAACTCCAGACCCTATGGGGCTGCAGACGCCCCAGCTTTGATAGCACTTCCAAGGTGTATTCACAACTTCCCTCTCCTGCTGTCGGATTGTAAAGTT